CAAATTGAGAAAGAAAGAATACAGTGAGTAAATACACGAATAAATGAATGAATGCATTAAATAATGAATAAATGTAATTAATATTTTGAATAAATAAATACAGTGACTAAATAAATACAAAATAAATAAATGAAATTAATACTTTGAATACAGTGAATATTGAATGAATAAACAAACAAATAAATAATATGAATAAATGAAATTCATATATTGAATAAATAAAATAAATGAATAAGAAAACAAATAAATAAATGAACTGAATAAATACGTGAGTGAATCAATGATTCAATAAGCCTAAATTCAAAACTGCAAACTAGTACACTACTCTTACTATTTTTAACATATCTTTTTATGGCATAAATAGTAAGAGTAATATTGTAGTATCCGGTTCTGAAATCAGCAAGTGACTTTGCTTCATTCCTGAGTGAATCAGCCGATTGAATGAATCGAATTGAATGAGTGATTCACTTAAGACAGTGACTTGTCGCCACCTACTGGCAGTTTTAGTTTCATATTTAAAGCATCATTTCATAGTTCTATATTCAGCATATTTTATATTTAACACAGTACTCTCCTAACATTATTTATTTAATTGTAACTGCAATGTAAATGCATTCATTACATCTCTGAGCTGCATAAATACATAAAATGCATAAAAAGCCACTTCAGGTGCAGCTTCTGTGCAACTTCTGCAATGCAAAGATGGATTTTGGTGACATTGATTTCATTTGATTGGTATCAGCCCTATAGTGTCTTATTATTCTAATTGTATTAATTTGCATGAAAGATGACACATCTTCTTTACTAAGGTTAGAAAATTTGTCCCTGGAAATCATTTTAAAGGCGAAAACATCAACCTTTTTTGTCACTGGTTTAGGATTATTTTTCATATCTAAGTCTGCATGATGCTCTATAAATGGCATCTGTAGGTGATTTGTGGTTCAGTGCGGAGCGTAAGTGATATGGATGAGTCCAGTCTCTTAAAGATCTTAAAAAGCAAAGAGGCTTTAGCAGTAACCTGCTTTATGGATGGAGAAGGAGAGAAAATGGCTGAAGGGAGTGAAATAAATCTCCTCTGAATGGAGGGAGAGTAAAAGTTTATGAATTAGCAGCATGTTAATGTGCATTCGCAGCAGGTCCGCGAGTGCTGTAAGCGAACGGAGAACGGCTCTCTGCTCAAACACACTCTTTGGGCCTGTAATTTAAACACACATGATCTAACCCAGCTCTCATATCTTACTGCTCATCTCATGTACAATAAAAGTCAGCTTCCACAGAGTTACCTTTCTAAAACATCAATCTACTCAGGTTTAATTAACATCTGAGGCTTTGCTCTGCATGTTAATGAAGACTGTATTTTAAAGAAATGTTCTGGTTGAAATGCAAGTAATGTTAGAAATAGAAATATATATGAATGTTTGCAAGTTCTTAACTTGTACTGAACCCAGAACAGTCATTTAAAGAAAGGGACAAAATAAAAAGTATAATCGTATGGTTCCAAGCGACACGTGACTCATGCAGTTAATGAGCCGAATGCTGTGAATGTAGTGATATATATATTCACATATACATGTACACTGTGAATCATATCAGTGAACATTCGAGACATTGTCATGAACCGCAGTGAAGCTTTCAGATCCATAAAGTGAAATGAATCCTTGGATTAAAAGGGCAAATAATGATCAGGGCTTAAAGTTCTTCGGCACCGTGCCGGATCTCTGGCGTGCAGCGTTTGGCTGTGAAAAAAAATAATCCTACATTTAAAAAAAACTTGTTGATATCACTTTCGAGTCCATGAGTTCGGCTACCAATGGTATGAGAGGAGCACAGCTTTCACTCTCAACCAAGTTAACATTACTAGCCAATCAGAATGTTTTGCTCTTATAAACACGAGATGCGCATAATAGTATCCAACTGCAGAGTCGCATCCCTGATGAATGGAGAAGCGCGACACATTGAAAAAGCTGCGAGGCGCAATGCTCAAAGATGTCCATCTAGCGCATATTTACATAGAATAACTAATTAAAAAGCAGCAGAGCTTTGTAAACAGCTCAGAGTAATCATGTCATCTCCATAAGAACGATATGATTGCCAGAACAAATTTCGGGATTTTTGAAAAGGTCCTGTTCACACATGATCTCTTAATGATAATTTACCAGTAGGCATGGGCCGATTACCGGTTTCAAGGTATACCGCGATTTGAAAATGTAATAA